CTGCTAGTATCGTATCAGTTTCGACCAATACTCTGTACATACTCTCCAATACAGTTTTTGCTGTCCAACAGAAGGCACTCCCCCTACAGAACGCTTGAGCCAGTGCGGCCTCCGGTGGTACCTAATGACTATGTCCCAAGCCCCACACGCAATATGGCGCCCATTCTGCAGCAAAGTCCTGTGCGCACAGCATCTGTTAATCAGAGGAACCGCACTTACAGGTACCATTACCCACATCCTCTCCTTTCTGTCAGAGCATGCCTCTCTCACACTGCAGTTAGGGACTTTGCACCTATAGTGACTGTATGTACATTTATTTATTAGCTAGCATTGATTAGCAGGTTTTGCTGTAAAGCTCTTTCACACAGACATCGCTTTTCACCAGCACTTCTAAAACAAGCATCGTTGATTGTCTGCACAATTGCATAATTTGAAACCTTGGCAACCAGTTGCAAGTGACGCTAACAGTGCTCACAAACACCTCATCAGTCATGGAGGATAAAGACGCCTGAAGATGCTCTCAAATGACTGCAGAGCATCTCTTTCTCTGACATTTTCTCTGTCTCCCATCTCAAGCTTTCCTTTCTTGTTTTATTTTTCCTGAGGATTTTAAAGATCAAGTCCGCTACATTGCAGAACAAGCGCAAGACTCTTGCAGATAGTTCTCTCGGTCTTTCCTTTGAAGCTCAGACCTGCTATGTCTGAAATTATGTAACGGCTCTCACTTGTTCTCCTTTGATCTCTGTGCTGTCTACAGCGATGCCTGTAACATCTTCATTTATGCATTTGGCTGACACTTTTAGCTAAAGCGATTTTATAATGCGTGTTTCCTGGGAATCGAACCCTGACCTTGTTGTTTTTAGCAGGAACACTCTTCAATACACTTACAACCTTCTAACCGGTTCTAGAAGGGTTTTCTTAGAAAACACTTCTAAGCTTTTCTCATGTTTTCACCCTGAGCAGTGAATGTATGCTGAAGTCCTCCCACATGCTCTTTACGACTGCCTCTTGGCACTCAGTGCAGAATCCAAAAAAGAGCATTTGGTGCTGTTTTCCCCAGCCCTCTCCCATCTGTCTGACAGTTGGAAATGTTATTGAACATCTTGGACAAAAATAACAACGGTTGTGCCCTCCTGACTTTCAGAAGGGCTGATGATCTGAATGTATTCAAATTCATATTTGAGAACATGTTAATATCATCACAGCTTTCATAAATGGAGTCCAGCCTTAATCGTGCATTTAGAGGCTACAGAAAGTCGAAGTTGCTGGAGCCTTGGTACTTTGGAGTTGTAGCACTTCAAGGATGGAGGTTTTGAGTCCAGCCTGTGTTGTCCAAATCTCATTTCCCCTCATAATTTTATAGCCTACAAGAGGCTAAATCACGAAAACTGCCAAGAAAAGCCTTGGTCTTCGCTCACCCCAAAAATTAATAGAAAAATATATATTTTGCCTACAGGAAATTATGATTTAATTAGAACGATGACTCTTTCAACGACTCTTGAAAGAATGGTTGGTTGTTATGCTGATATGACAGTTTTTGAGCATTAATTCTCTCAAATGTCTTAATTGTTATGAAAATATTGTGCAGTCCAACAAGTTTTAATGGCTCTAAATAGGCTTTCTTTAAATTTGCGATGTAAGGGGACTTGATTCTGTGCATCAGTTGTTGATTGAATGGAGGCAGATCTGAATGTGAGCTTGCAGTCGATCATAAAGGCCCTGATATACTTCAAGTAAAATCAAAGAACAAATTGGTGTGATGTTGGGATGCAAGCTAACAGTAAACAGCTGCTTGTGTATTTCAAACTTCCTTTTACCTCTAAGTGAGGAACAAAAAAGAACGTTGCTGTCACTATGTCAGGGCCTTAAGAAAAGAGCAGGTGTAAATGAATTAAATGATTCGAGAAGTCCAGCATACGTCCCTAGAGAGAAATAATTTTCATTGGATGATCAATTTTGATCAAAAGTACAAGGTCAGAATTTCTTTTTTTGGAAGTTGTTCAAAATCAAATTGGTAATATGCGTTAAAAAAAGTATAATTTCCATTTCATGCTGATTATGAAAATTGTTGCTTTGATGCTGACAGTTCATTCTTCTCTTCAAGACACTCTTTAATGTGTCTTGTACCTTTTCTTCAGTTGCTTTAGCTCTATATTCGCCTGGCATTGCTGTCTGTTTCTCTTTTCATCTCAAAAAGGTATCTCACTCAAAGACCTTTATCTCATTACTGATTGATTTTATGCATTTCTTCTTGCTCTTTTCTCTTCATCTCAAGCACATAATCTCATGCAGTCTGTGCTCCATGTATTCAGTATGAGTGTACTACTTTCTGCCCACAAAGTCTCTGCTGTTGCTTCTCCGTTCCTTCTGTGACTCACAAATGCTGCCATCTCATGTTCTTTATGTCATAGACACTGAACCCAACCCATGCTGCTTTGTGTTTGTGTGAGCTGTTCAAATCGGTAATATCTGTGTATGTGTCTGAGTTTGTGTGATGTATGTGTGTTTGAGAGCACTTGCAGTGGTGAGTGTATGATTCATCTGTTTTGTTGTCTCTGTGTGTGAGTCTTTGGATGTCAGTATGTGTATAACATGGGGCGTATGTGTGTGAGGTGTGTAATCTGTAGTGTGTGTTTAGCAGCGGGAGCAGTGGCGGCAGTCATCCCAGCAGTCGCAGCAGCAGTCGTGAAAACAGCGGGAGCGGCAGTGTGGGTGTTCCCATCGCTGTGCCCACACCCTCTCCACCCAGCGCCTTTCCAGGTTACATCTTTATCACAGAAAGCACACTTAACATATGTACTGCTTGCAGTCTGACTGTTTTTTGATTATTTATAATAAGAGCTTGTTTAAGAAGTGTGATATGAACTTGCTAATAACTGGCTTTATATCTAGATTCAAATGCTAAAAACATTAATAGGATAGTTCATCCAAAAGATAAAATTCTTTCATCTGTTCATGTTGCTCCAAATTTGTATGTATTTTTCTGTTTTTGTGGAAAACAAAATGAGTTTAGTTATATTTCCACAGAAAAACTGACAAGCAAGAACTAATGAAAATTGAATGTGGTTCTTGTCCTTCTGTGGTGTCAACTGCTAGAAAAGATGTTTTCACATGTATCGTAGTGCATTAGTTTTTAGTCAAGATTTTCATAGCTATTGGTCTACTCATCACAAAACTGCCGTATAGCTTCAGAAAATGTTTAATATAACACTGGTTGGTAAAAACGGCATTTGGTAGGTGCTTTTATCCAAAGTGACTTACAATATTGGAAGTATACATTTGCCATGCATTCCCTGGGAATTGAACCGTCAACCTTGGCATTGCTAACGCCATGCTCTACTGTTTGAACTACAGGAACAGTAAAATATAATACACTACTTTTATGGTACTTTTGTACCTTTTTCACTTTACTATTTACTTCTATGCATTGATAAAGCATCTTTGATGACATGAGGTCAAGTAAATGATTAAATTAATTTTTTGGGTGAACTCGGAATGGGTGAAACTCAGTCAGCAACCACAGTTTTTACTGTCAAATGACTGAAACAAGGAATTTTTTGAATGAGATTTGCATATACATCCAAGGTGTCTAATCCTGCTTCTCAAGGGCCACTGTCCTGCAGAGCTTAGCTCCAACACACCTGCCTGGAAGATTCTAGTGATCCCGAAGACCTCGATTAACTGGTTCATGTGGGTTTAATTAGGGCTAGAGCTAAAATGCTGAAAGGTGGCCCTCCAGGAACAGGATTGGATACCCCTGATATACTTGGTCTTCACAAAAGCTGAATTGTGACTGGATTTTAAGCTCAGTATTTCTTCGATCATGTAGAGAGTTCTCTGAGACTAAAGTAAAACTTCTTCCTGGCATGCCCCACATTAGCTCCCTTTAAACGAAATGCAAAAGCATTTCTCATTTGGTTTCCTCCGTCTTTCCTTTTTTCAACCTCAAGCTGCTACTGCCAGCACACCCTCAGCTCCAACTAACTCCACTCAGCCTTCTGTCATGTCCTCTAATTTAACCCCTACACAACCCTCAGCCAACCCCACCTTAATCCCTGAATCTCTTCCCACGCACCCCGACTCCACTGAGAGCTTGCTGACCCCAGAAAAAGGCTCTCCCACCCCTCAGCCACCCCTCACTTCAGCTGAAGCTAGTGCTACATCCAACACCAACTCTGGGACAGGTGAGTCCGCCACTGTCCAGCCCATCAGTCATACCTTCTGCCCTCGTTTCATTCCCCACCTGCTGACACATCACGCTGTTCTGTGGTGAAGTTTTGGTCTTTGTGTCCTACTCATTTTGCTTTCTCATGAGTCTCTCAGGCTGTTTTCACACATGGTTTCGTTGTTTGTTCTGACTCAAACATGGTACAATAGTTTTGTGTCATCAATAAAAGTACCACTGCAACTTCACTCGCAGAGAAAGAAATGCAAACGTTTTGCTTGTATACAACAGTTCTTTAAACAAGATTACGTGTTGCATTCTTTTGAGTGTCGTATTACAGAAAAATATAAGCTGATTAATCACCTAATTGCCAATATTTCTCTATAGAGCGCTGCGGTGATGACGACATAATTTTGTAGGCCAACCTGGAGATTAGCATCACCCTAGTTCACTCTACAAAAACCCAATAGGATTTTTTTCCATTGTCTTTTGGATTATTGCAGAAAACAAGCTCTGTCTAAGAAAAGTTTCTGATTCTTACACATTTTATTCATCATGATAATCTTCACAAGATACGTTTTTATAAATTTTGAAGCCTAAATACAATTGCCAGAAGTAAAAAGCTAAATGTAGACTATAAATGAAGTACCCTACGAATGCATGACTTCAACGCCACCACCATTATGCTTCTGACAACTCTTTCAGTCTTTATTTAAAAACATATTCCATGAAAGTTTGTGGCAGAAGAGTTTGCAAGAGCACAGTTGTAAACACAGTGATGCTGTGGACCAGTGAGTAGATTTAGAGTTTATCTGTTCAGTGTATTGACATTAAATGACACTTGTTAGCAACCGCCTTTTTCCAAGACAAGTAAAAGCTTTAATTACAAGGGGGTTTTACTGATGCATTTTATGTCGAAGAATAAAACATGAAAATATCTTGAGCTGATGTTGACCACAGACCTTATTTTTAGACATTTAACCGTTCCAAAAAAAACTAAAACATTGACTTAAGGACAATGAAACCAGAAGTACTGAAATGCTAACTCATTTCCAGGATTTGGCCTACAAAAATCATTCCTGCAGCAGCATTCTATTAAAAATGATATGCAAATTCTAAATCAAAATAAATTACAAATTCCACACTCCAAACTAGGCTAAACTGTTCGTAGAGATCCATCCTTGTGAAACTGTACTCCTGTAGTCAAGCAGAAAACTGCTTTCAGTTCAACCAAATAAATACAAGTCTGTTGCCAAAAGTACTTTGATCCACACCAAGATGATCTAGTGTGAAAACCACCTTAGTCCAGATCAGTTTAAACGTCATTTTCATGACATTCACACTTGCTTTTGGATCATTGATCCATTTGGTCATTATGGAAAAATGTGTCCTTAAATAGTCTGACTGTAGACCTCTCACATTTCTTATCTACTTTTTGACAGTTAAGGTGGCATGTTTTCAGAAGTGAATGTGATAAGTCTGCAAGTCTTTTCTCTCTCTCATGGCTGTGTTGTTCATCCAGGTGGCCCTCAGTTCTACAGCATGAACAGGCCCGTCACCAGACAGATCACACCCACAGTGGGAGGTTCGCTGCCGTATCGCCGGCCGGCCTCAATCACGGGTCAGATTTCCATGCCCCCTAGCCAGCAGAACGGAGGGCCCTATTACAATCAGAACCAAGGTACTGCTCTCACTATTCAGACTTGACATCTTTCATGTTCTGGTTATTCGTCAAAGCCAAAGTTTAATTTGTTCTCTGAGATATAGTACATCATGTATCCCCCTACCTGCATTTTACTTTCTTTTAAGAGTTGTATTTGACACACTATTATATCTTTGATTACCACATTCATCTTTACTGCAACATTTCTCTCATAAAGTTCTTAATTATAATCTAGAGTTATCATAGATTGGTGCTTTGATGTGAAAATGAGTTAGTCTTTGAACTCTCTAGCTGGTGTAGATTCACCCTTCATCCTTTCTGCTCCGAGGTGACCACTTCCTGTTTGCCAGAAAGTGTTTGCACACTAAACTAACTGCCTACTCTCTTCTGTTTTCCCTTTCACATTCACTTTCTTTATCTTGGTTCATTGCTCACACACTCCCTCCTTCCTCTATTTCTCTGTGCTTTTTGTGG